GTGAGAATTTACTAACATTTTTAAAGTTTATTCTTTCATCACCTATCTCAAGTTACTTTGTTGATATGTCCGTGTAAAGTGACTGGTCTGATGGGCACTACAGATAAGAAGCTCTGTCAACTACAGTTGTAACTATGAAACACGGGTAATTCTCTGTTGATTGATAATTTGATGCCAACACCTCAGCCATGGATACCTTCTTGCCAGATTTCCTTCCTCCCTCATCCTCTCTTTAAGTTAAGGATTCCTAAATTTATTACAAGCTAAGAGCTATTACGTATATCAGCTCATTTTAAAAGTTTTTTTTATTTTTATTGTTAAAATATACAGATAAATAAACAGATGAAGTTGGAGCCATCCTGATGCCACGATTTTCATTTGATCAACTGACTTTAACTACGATGATGTTCTCAAATGTACGAACATGAACCAGATACGATGTCATCCTACGAATAAAATTTTATTTTTTGACCTCAGACATTCAAGTTAGGATTTTCTCTCTCTGCCACTTGTGTGCATATTGTGTATTATAACTGTCAGCTTTGAAGCTGCGTATTGTGTATTATAACTGTCATCTTGAAGCTTGCGTATTGGTGTAGTATAACTGACAGCTTTGAATCTACGTTTTTGTGTGGTATTATAAACTGACAGCTTGAAGCTTCATATTGTGTAGTATAACTGACCAGCTGAAGCTTGCGTAGTGGAGTAGTATAACTGACAGCTTTAATAGTTGCCGTACTGTGAATTATAACTGTCCAGCTTGAAGCTGAGTATTGATAGAATAACAGACAGCTGAAGCTGCGTATTGTGTATATAACTGACAGCATTGAAGCTTGCGAATTGTGTATTAAAAACTGGTCAGCTTGAACCTTGCTAAATTGTGTATATAACAGACAGCTTGAAGCTTGCGTATTGGTTGAAGTATAACTGACATTTGAAGCATGCGTATTGTGTATTATAACTGTCAGCTTGAACTAGCGTATTGTGTTATTATAACTGGTAGCTTGAAGCTGCGTATTGTGTAGCATAACTGTCGGGATTGAACGCTTGCGTAATGTGTATAATAACTGTCAGCATTGAACTTGCGTATTGTGTGCATAACTGGCTCAGCTTGAAGCTTCGTAATTAGTGTAGTAAAAACTGACAGGTTGATGCTTGTCGAATTGATTAGTGATAAACTGACAGCTTTCACGCTGCGTATTGTGGAGTATAACTGTCAGCCTTGACGCTTGCGTATTGTATAGTATAACCAGCTTGAACATTGCATATTGTTAATTATAACAGTCCAGCTTGAAGCTTGCGTCGTTGTGTATAAAACGTCACTTGAAACTAGCTTATTGTGTAGTATAACTGACATCTTGAAGCTTGCATATTGTGTAGTATAACTGACAGCTTGAAGCTTGCGTATTGTGTATTATAACTGTCAGCTTGAAGATTGCGCATTGTGTATTATAACTTTCAGCTTGAGGCTGCGATAGTGTCGTATAAATCTGACAGCTTAAGCTTGCGTATTGAGTAGAATAACTGACAGCAGAAAGCTTCGTATTGTGTTATTATTTAACTGAACAGCTTGAAGTTTGCATATTGTGTATTATAACTTGTCAGCTTGAAGCTTATAGTCGTTATTGTGTAGTATAACTAACAGCTTAAGCTTGCGTATTGTGTAGTATAAACTTCCAGCTTTGAAGTTGCATATTGTTATTATAACGTAGCAAAACTTGCGTGTCGAGGAGTATTACTGTCAGCTTTAAGCTTTGTGAATGGTATTAAGTCTAACGAGACAGCCTTTAAGCTTGCGAATTGTGTAGAATAACTGAGATCGTGAAGCTTTCTTATGTGTGAATTATAACTGTATCAGCTGAAGCCAAGCGTATTTGTGTATTATAAATGCATCTTTAATCTTGCATATTGTTAGTATAACTGACAGCTTGAACTGCATATTTGTATATTAATCTGACAGATTTGAAACCATGCGTATTGTGTTATACTTGTCCAGCTTGAGTTTGCGTAATGATTAGGTATAACCTACAAGCTAGAAGCTTGCGTATTGTGGTAGTATAACAAACAGCTTGAAGCTTGCATTATTGTTTTATTATAACTGTCATCTTAAAGCTTGTGTATTTTGCATTAATAAAATGTTCTGCTTGAGAACTTGCGTAGTTGGTTAGTAAAACTGTCCGCTGGACGCTTGCGTATTGTGTAGTATAACTGACAGCTAAAGATTGCATATTGGGTGTTATTATAACATGTCAGCTTGAAGCTTGCGTATTGTGTAGTAAAAACTGGCAGCTTGAAGCTTGCGTATGTGTAGTATAACAGACACTTGAGCTTGCATATTGTGTAGTATAACTGACAGCTTGAAGCTTGCGTATTGGGTATTAAATAACTTCTGCTTGAAACTTGCGTATGGAGGTAGTATAACTGGCAACTTGAACCTTGCTTAATGTGATAGTATGACTGACAGCTTGAAGCTTGCATATTGTGGTAGTATTAAACTGACAGCTTTGAGCTTAGGTATTGTTTATAATAACTGTGCAGCTTGAAGATTTCCTGTATTATGTAGTATAACTCATTCAGCTTGAAGCTTGCGTAAGTGCAGTATAACGCAGCTTTAATCATGCGTCATTTGTGTATTAATCACTGTCAGATTGAAGTTCTGTGTATGAGTAATTACAAATGTCCAGCTTGAAAACTTGCGATTGTGTAATAATAACTGTCAGCTTGAAACTATGAGTATGTGTAATATAACTGTTGCAGCATGAAGATTGTGCATATTGTGTATTTAACTGTCAGCTTGAAGCTTGCGTATGTGTAGTATAACTGTCAGCTTGTAAGCTGCGAGATGATGTATTATATAACTGTCACTTGAAGTTGTGGTATTGAGTATCCACAAATTTCGAGCTTGAACCTGCGTATTGTGTAGTATAACTTTCTTCTTGAAACTTGAGTATTTGTGAGTATAACTTACAGCATGAAGATTGCAAATTGTGTTATTTATAACTTGTCAGCTTGATGCTTGCGTATTGTGTAGAATACCTGACAGCGTTGAAGCTTGCTTATATGTGTAGTATTACTGGCAGCTTTGAATCTTGCATATTGAGTAGTTATAACAAACAGCTTGAACATGTGTATTGTGAATTAAAACTGTCATCTGAAGCAAGATTAATCTGTGTGTAGTACAACTGACAAGCCTTGAAGTCTTGCATATTGTGTAGTATAACTGACAGCTTCAAGCTATGCTAATGTTTATTAGAGACTGTCAAGCTTGAAACATGCTTATCGTTGAAGTATAACTGACAGCTGAAGCTGCGTAATTATGATAATGACTGTCAGCTCAAGTTTGCGTATAGAGTATTATAATTGACAGCTTGAAGACTTGCCGTATTGTGGTAGTATAACAAGACAGCTTTAAGCTTGCGAAATTTGTGTATTATAACAGGTCATCTGGAAGTTTGCGTATTTTGTAGTATAACTGTCAGCTTGAAGTTTGCATATTTTGTAATATAACTGACAGCTTGAAGCTTGCGTATTGTGTAGTATAACTGACAGTTTGATGCTTGTGTATTGTGTAATATAACTGACAGCTTGAAGCTTGTGTATTGTGTATTGTAACTGCCAGCTTAAAGCTTGTGTATTGTGTATTATAACTGTCAGCTTGAAACTTGCGTATTGTGAAGTATAACTGTCAGCTTGAAGCTTGCATATTGTGTAGTATAACTGACAGCTTTAAGCTTCCGTAATTTGTAGTATAACTGACAGCTTGAAGCTTGCGTATTGTGTATTATAACTGACAGCTTGAAGCTTGCGTATTGTGTATTATAACTAACAGCTTGAAGCTTGCGTATTGTGTATTATAACTGACAGATTGAAGCTTGCGTATTGTGTATTATAACTGTCAGCTTGAAGCTTGCGTATTGTGTAGTATAACTGTCAGCTTGAAGCTTGAGTACTGTGTAGTACAACTGAACAAGCCATCAAGCAAGCCATATTGTGTAGTATAACTGACAGCTTCAAGCTTGCGTATTGTGTATTATGACTGTCAGCTTGAAACTTGCGTATCGTGTAGTATAACTGACAGCTTGAAGCTTGCGTATTATGTATTATGACTGTCAGCTTCAAGTTTGCGTATTGTGTAGTATAACTGACAGCTTGAAGCTTGCGTATTGTATAGTATAACTGACAGCTTGAAGCTTGCGTATTGTGTATTAAAACTGTCAGCTGGAAGTTTGCTTCAATTTAGTAAGTATAACTACAGCTTGAAGATTGCATATTGTGTATTATAACTGTCAGCTTGAACTTGCGCCGTATAGTGTAGTATAACTGCAGCTTGATACATTGCATCTTGTGTAGTATAACTGACAGCTTGGAGCTTGCCCTATTGTGTAGTCATAACTGAGAGCTTGAAAGCTTGCGTATTGTGTATTATAACTCTCAGCTTGAAGATTGCGTATTGTGTATTATAACTGCACACTTGAAGCTTGCATATTGTGTAGTATAACTGACAGCTTGACGCTTGTGTATTGGTGTAAGTATAACTGACCGCTTAATCTTGCGTATTGTGTAATTAACTGTCATGATTGAACATTTCGTATTTTGTAGTGTAACAGGTCAACTTTGAAGCATGCGTATGTGTACAGTAACTGACAGTTTTGAAGCTTGCAAATAGTGGTGATTATAACAGTCAGCTTTGATGCCTTGCGTATTTGAACGAAAAACTGACAGCTAGAAGCTGCATATTGTGTATTATAACTCAGGATTGAAGGCTTGCATATTTGTGTATTAATAACTGTCAGCTTGAAACTTGCGTGCTGTGTAGTATAACTGTCAGCTTGAATCTTGCGTATTGTGTAGTATTACTGACAATTTTAAGCTTGCGTATTGTGTAGTATAACTGAAAGCTTGAAGCTTGCGTATTGTGTTTTATATCTGTCAGCTTGAATCTTTCTTATTTTGTATTTTAAATGTCAGCTTGAAGCTTGCCTGATGTGTAGTATAACTGA